TCTTTTTCTCCTCTCTTGATATTTTTGTAATGTTTTAACATCAAGCTTCATTTTCTCTTCTCTTCTCCCCCATTTACTCACACAGAATATCTCCATCTTTTCTATTTGTTTCACTTCACCAGCCTGTAGTTTCCGCTCTCCTGGCTCACAGAAAGCTGCTATTTGGTAAAGGTCAGCTTGTGATTGGCAGCTATACGCTCTGAGACGAGATGAATACTGTCAAACCACTGCTCATTTTTGCAATTGTAATGAAGGACTGCAAGAAAGATGGCTTTTCTTTTGTTCAGTTTCATGTCACAGACTCAAGGCTAAATATATTTATACATACATATGCATGTATTGCACATTTCTTTTTACCCCTTCCCCAATTATTTTGATTTCCCCACCTCGTCTTCACTGGAGAGGGAGCAGGCAAGTGAAAATGAAGAGCCACAGAGAAGATATCACATTTGCATATATCTGATATGAAAGCATACGTCTTGGTTTTTGCTAAAGTAGGTCACTGTCACTGCAGTTTACTGCAGGAAACCTAAAAATGTGACAGCAAAGTAGCTTCTATATATGGTGTGATGAGACTTCTTACTACATGCACTCAGTTATAATTTACATTTCACTTCACTTTTTCTTATTCAGGTGCAAAATTCATGCCACGGTGTTTTTTCATAGATTCCATAGTGATTTTTCTTTGGAATCTATTTGATTGTGGCAAAATTATAACTGACTGTGGTGTCAGTTGAGACTGCACGATCAATAGATGGACACATTGCTGCTATTTCACTTTACTGCAGTACATATAAAGACACACATGCGAGATCCACAAAGCATAGACGTGATCTTAGATCAGGTCTGTTTGAGTTTTCAAGTCGGCTCTAATCTCTGTTTTGTGGAGATTTCAGTCCAAAATACCTGCGAGCCATCGACTCAGCACTCATGATTTGCATGTTGTGTTGAACATACATTATATGTCAGTAAGTCCATTAGCTCATGGACTTATAATTGTGAAGGTGTTAATACACACGAGTATTAAATACATATCAATATATTATTTGGCAAAAACCTGCAGGTGCTGTGAGTGTCTTCCCCATAAAAGAGGATACCACAGGCTGGGAGAGCAAATACTGCCGAAGGAATGTCTAGTTTTTATGTTTCATGACAATCTGTTTGGTCTTTGGTGATTAAAAAAAGGATTAAAGTGACTTTCTTTTGTGGTGAAACACATGACTGCGTGTCCTGTGCTTGCATCCGGTACTCTTGTCATCAACCTATGAGCACAAACACATTCTCGTGCAAAAACGTCTGAGGAGACCTAACCATCCCTTCTAAACACAAACACACCAGTTGACCCATCGCTGATGTGTCTGATTTCTCTTTGCTGAGAGAGATGGATCTTAAATAATGTCCACGCACATATGCACACACAGTTCTAAGTATAGTATAAAATATGAACAGGGAGGATCGGTGCAGTGGGTGAGCCTGCTAACAGCTCCAGGGACAACTCCATGTCCTTTTAAATGCAACTTCAGCAGCATCCTTGCAGCCATACTACATCATGTATAAGACATTTGACACAAGTAAGATGTACACTAACAAGCAATCTGTCTGACTAATAACCTACCTGTTCCCTCCAATATGTGCATACATGTTCCGCACAGCCAACTAGACAGACAGAGGTTCCCATCTGACGGCAAGCAAATGCTCGCATTAATATTTGAGTTTCTGCTCTGTCCAGACATGCTGTGGAGAAAACTGCATAATTGATGTGGAAATGTCCGACTACTTAATCTCTCCTCCTGTTTTTGAGGCTGCCAGCCTTTCCTCTGCTATTCATCTGTGTTCGCCCTTTCTTCCTTCAGCCTCATTCTGCTGAATTATTATCAGAGTGCCGTTTCTCCCTGCAGATACTGACCGTGAATATCCATTCCACTGCTTTTGCTCGGATATGTCAGCATATTTAATTAAAAAATGTCAGCTTTATTAAACAGAGGATCATCTGTGGCTTCTGTGGCAATGGCTGCATTATGAGCTTCACAGTCAATTCAAGCTGTTCTGGAGATATTTGGTGTTCAGTGAAGAGAAATGTTTCCCTTCTGTGTTGAAGTTGAAGCAGAAATTGAGTGTTTGTGTCCCCAGTTTCTCAAACTAAGTTATTGTTTAGCTACTTACACATGATTTTATTTGGGGAAGCTGTTTTTTCTTCCCCTTTATCCAGTTCAGAGTAATTAACTCACTGATTGCCACAATCATTATATGATGTATCAGTCTAAGTGATATAAAAGGAGTTAACTAAACTGCATTCATTTATCTTTGTATATTTTCAGCAGTGTAATAGTAAATGTAAAAAGCAGGTGCTTCACCTACTTTATCTTAATCTAAATTTTTAACTCTCTCCTTTCTGTGTGATTCAAGAAGACAGACTAGTCATTCCTTCAAGCTCTTTACCTTTTACTTTCCCCTGTGTGCTCGTTCACTTAATGAGACACTCAATCAGGTTGTGAGAGAGCCCATCTTCATTCCTCTCTGTCTTCTATTACGGCCACTTCCCCTGTTTATTTATTTATTTTTCCAATTTATTTTCTGCATATCGCCCACGTTTCTTCTCTTCATACATCTTACATTCGGATTCTCATTTTGCTCTTGTCTTGTTCAAGGTCAGAAATTTAAAGTGATGGAGAATAAAGGAAAACAAATGAATGAGCAGAACACTTAACGCATGCTCTGCTTTCACAATGAGGGCCTTTTTATCTTCTCATTCACATTTTCAGGTTGGTAAATGCAGCAGGAAGATGTCTTGTAGCACAAATAATTCATTCTGTAAAGTTTTAAGAACCCCAGTATGAACAATACTGCACAGATGAAAGAAGGCATGTTTATTTAATGTTTGCGTCAAAGGAAATATTCTGGTCAAAAATAACTTGGTGATGTCATCGAGAGTAGGTTTCTGGTTAGACCCTGTACAGAAGAAGACATTTATAAAAATATAATAGTATATTATAGTCCGAGTATTTGGTTTGGGTTGGGATGGAAATGTTTGCAGTGTTTTGTAGTAATACTGCTCAAGCCAAGTATCTATAAGGTGAAAAATATTAGTCCTGGCATAGAACAAATCTCTGACACAGGTACTGGATTTACCTCTAATGCATCTTACTAGTCAGTAGGTAATGAGCTAAGAGGGTAAAGTAAAAGGAAGTTAACTAGCTTTTGGTAAAGACAAAGTTTTCTTTTTTCTGATGCACAGATATTATTTTGTATTTGAGATTACTGTCTTGAGTAAGCACATAGCTTTGCTATGTTTTATTATTGATATAATGATATCATTACTGGAATCCGTTACTTGGGCTTTGATCAGAGTAGTAATACTTGGTAATAAAAGAACAAAGTCCCTCTGCCTCTTTCCTTATTATTTTGTCTTGGATTTTTATTTCCTTGAACTCCACTTAAAAAAGACATCTCACATCTTTATCATCAGTCTCAGTTGCCAGTTGTGCGTTTGCAGACATCCCCTTTTCCTCTTCTGCATCTTTGCATCTTCTTTTCCATGATCATGGTTGGTTGGCATGCTCACTGGCATCAGCATGATGCGCTGATCCCTGATATAAACAATAGTAGCACCAAGTTGCTGAGCAACAATGACATGAGATGACAAGTCCAGAGATGACAAAAAAAATAAAAATTCTTACCTATTTGCATAGCATTTGCATATTAAGACTTCACACATTGTCTTTTATTAGTAAAATGGCACACGTTAACAAAACACATCCCGATCAGTTAATTAACTTCTCATCAGCCATGAAGTGAGGTAATCAGATATGATTTTCATTCCCTGTGATTCTCCCTGAATTAGCTGCCACAAAAGTGTTCACTGTGTTAAAGAAAGAACTCATCATGTGAACACAGATGTAGGTTTTCTGTTTTCTGTCTGTCTTACTGTCATTCCTGCTTATTCATTTACTTCTCTCCATCTTTCAGGGACCAGCCCACTGGACAGTCCTCGCAACTTCTCTCCCAACACAGCTGCACACTTCTCCTTTGTTCCTGCTCGCAGGTAAGACTTCCATTTATGTGCTAAGGATGTTTGTGTTCGCAGTCACACATGTAAAAAACACAAAAGCATTGTTGTCCTCAATAAACAAACTGACTGTATTAGTGATCATTAGCTCTCACCAGTTCTTTTCAGTTTTAAGTTATACAGTACATCAGGAAAAAAAATAGAAATAAAGTAATAGATTGCAGATGTTGAGCCCAAATAGATTAGTGTCCGTATCTTTGAAACAGTGTTAAACAACTCAGTGACCTATGAGAGCCCTATGAGAGCTGAGCAGCTGCTGATGTAAATGAGTGTGTGAGCTGATGAGGAGGCAAATTTGTAAATACTATTTTACATATCTTATCTTTAAAAGATCTGTGCTCACATATCTGTGCCGTGGCTAGCGTATGTTGCTAACTTCCGGGAACTATTGTGAGACACCATGATCCCTAGCTGTGGTGGGGGGGTTGGAATCTATTTGATTGAACTGAGACTCTCCATTCGAGGACTGAGCCGAACAGGCAGGCTGTTTGCACGACGACGTCATCAAACACCGAGACACTGTGCGTGTGAGGTGCAGCAGCGAAAAGGAGCATTAGTGCTGATTTGAATTGGAAATCCCTCTCTGTCCAGCCAGTGACCTCAGAGCTGCCGCTGCTCAGCACACTGTGGGGTGAGAGGGACACCGTGTGGTGGAGTCTGATATGACGGGCCTACTGTTCCTACTCACATAAAAGCCTTATTTTACCAGAAACACTTTCATTTAAATGTATTTTTTGAAATGCTTTTTCATTTGGCTTTGCATGAAAATAATTGTGCTTGTTGTCATAAAATAAAAAATACATATGGCTTGCAACAAAAACTGCGCCACTCTGCACTGCCAACAGTATCAGCAGTTAAACTTTTTTCTTTATCAGATATGTTTTGTTTGAAAAACCAACTGAGGCAATTTGCATCTATTTTTCAGTCTGTGTGACAGCAATAAAAATAAATAAATAAATAAAAAGAAAACCATTGTCTTGTCTTCTTCACAGCCATGGACACAGGGCTGACAGGTAATGTCTCCATTCTGACCTCTGACTTTTCCGCCTGCCTCTTCCTGCCTCTGTCCTGCATGACTCAGCACACACACACACACACAGACATTTATCTCTGCTTTTTTTAATAAGCAGAGATAAGAATGACATGAGAAAGCATCCTCTTGTTTTTTTTTCTATTGGTGAATACTCAAACATTCTCATTTGTTCTCACAAAACACTTCCGCAGGGGAAATCCATTTTCAGTTATGGCTCTTCAGGCGAGCCTCTCCTGTACTCTCTCCTCTGTTCACCACCTGTGTTTTAGGAATTCAAACATCCTAAATAGCAAGACCAGGAGTGTTCCTTTTGAAGAAGAAGGGTAATAAGGAGTGAAGTCAATCAGACACAAGTTGGGGGGGGGGAGGCGGAAGAAGGAAGGAATAACAAAGAAAAGCACAAGAGGAACTAACCTTCAAAATAAAAGTGGAACTAAATTGAATGAGGGACTGTCCAGAGACAACAGGAATATGTAGACAGACAAGGTAACACGAGAAAAATGAAGACCCCCCCCAGAATACATAGGCAATAGAGAGAAAAATAAAAAACAAAAGAGAGAATTACATCCATAAACAAATATCATAATGAACACCACAGGGTTTTGTTTTTTTAGAGGAAAAACAAATCATTTTTTAGATATTTAAATAAGTGCTTTTATGATCTTTTTATAAATTTCTTCAAAAATCTCCAGAAGAAGTTTCACTTGTTTTAGCCAAAAGTGTAAAACAAAAAGAAATGAAATACTTGCGAGTCGGACACGTTTAATTGGATTTGGAGCTGAGACACAGAAGGGGTAAGGAGGCACTTCAGGTTTGTTAGGATGAATATTTACTGAAAGTGACAAAAAGCTGGCTAATGTTTGATAACCAGAAGGTATTTGTGAAGTAAAGAAACAGGATGAGCTGTCGAGTCTGTGAACTCCGTGGTGCTTCTCTTTACGTGTGCAAAGTCTCAGTGGATGCTTTTTGTACACATTAGGTTCCATGCTATCTTTCCGCTTCACCTTTTCTTCCACCTACTGTAATACTTTTCCACTGTATGTGACACTGCTTCATCTTGTTATTCTGGCTGTGGAGAATATGTGGTATTTCACTGAAAATGATCATTGAGTGCTGATGTCTTCATTCATTTTCTTTAATATTCGCTCTTTGTTTTTAAGGACGGATGGCAGACGCTGGTCTCTCGCTTCATTGCCTTCCTCTGGATATGGCACCAACACTCCCAGTTCCACTGTCTCGGTAAATAAATTCACTATACTCTGTCTATGCATGTATATGTATGTCTGCTGTAGTGATCTATAGACTCATCCACGAAAACTAGAAACACATACTTTATTTCACTCACTACAAAGCTGCAAAACTGCCATAGCCTCCACTGCTGATTCCTTCATTCTGATACCTTACTGTGTACTTCTACGTCCTACTCTTTTTCTTTCCCTCACTCTTAGAGACATGTCAAATGTCCCACTTGGTCTTATTCTCCTCCTTGTCCTTTACCTTCTGCTGTTCTTTCATCTCCCCTTTTTAAAATTGCACACTTCCTCTGTGGCTCCTGCCTTTAAAATGAGACTTGCTGTGCATCAAAGGCAGCAGGCTGGCTAAGTTGTCTGAGAAGCCGTGAACTTGAGCATCCAGACTAACACAATCATTGTACTAAGAGAGAACCAAGCCCCCCTTCCCTTTTATCTTATTTGGACAAATAAGTCCTTTGTTGTGTGAATTTCACCCTGAACTGGTGTTTTTTTTATGCTGTATGCCCTTTCTGTCACAACCCCAAAAGGATTCATGCCTCCTACTGAAATCAAACTGGGGACTTTTCACTTGTCAGCTTTAGAAACTCACATTCACTGAAGTTCAGCTTAAACTTGTTTGGAAAACCTTTCCAGTAGTGTAATTGCAAAACTACATACATTATAATTTGATTACAGCTATGCCAAGCACTTCATTCTTCAGTCTTTCCACTCTGTTGTTCTGTGTAGAAACGAGCCTTAACACCTGGAATTCCTGCAAGGACGGACTACCACAAATTGTTCCGGCTAGAGATAATGCTAGAATTTCCTTGCGCCAATTTCCATTTAGAGCACTTTAACTTTTAAAAAATACATCATCCAAGCAAATAAAATAGTTTTAGCCTTTAGTATAATCCTAGCTTAGCTCCCTTCAAACCTTACAGGCATTTCCAGCTTGGAGTAATCTGCTTTTCCTGTCCCTTTCTCCTCTAATGAGAAGGGGACTAAACTTTACTCCAAAGACAAACTCAACCCAGAGTTCTTCTAATCCCAGTTTAGCTCCGGCCTAACTCCTCACTGTAGCTTCAGTGCTGGTTGTAATCTATACTCCGTTTGTGCTCCTCCTCTCACAGTCCTCCTGTTCATCCCAGGAGAAGCTGCACCAGCTGCCCTTCCAGCCCACACCTGACGAGCTGCACTTCCTTACCAAACACTTCAGCTCTGAGAGCATCACAGATGAGGAGGGACGACGCTCCCCCGCCATGAGACCACGGTCCCGCAGCCTAAGGTAGGAGCTCTGGGCTAGCTCACAAGATATACTCTGATTAGATCCAGCAAAATGCCACATGAAACCCAGCCTACGTGTTAGCGGAAAGCAGAAATGAACGATAAAGCAAATGCCCTGCATTTTTCTATAGCTGCTAGAGGCTTCCTGCAAAAGAAAAACCCTTGTAGGGCCCAGACGCACAAACCCTGCGTGCTATTCAAAGAAGAGTTGATGCAACACATCTCTGCTAAACATGTCTCTCTCAATTTTTTTTTACATTCAAAGGGAGCATATCGTTTTCAAAAGGGAGTATAGTTTCTCAGCTTAATCAACCAGTATTATGTTTTTGTAAAATGTACAATTTTACAAACAATAGATAGATCTTTTTGCACTTGTAGGTGCAGACCATTCAGATCAAGTCAGTACTTGAATTTAAAAGTAAGCTCATAAATGTATCCTTTCTGTCCCGTGATCTAGAGATGGTTTTTCTCACCTTCAATTTGTGTCAGAAAAAGTGATGCAACGTTGCTTTATCAGTCAGTCCTGGATGAAGATTGCTCATTTTGAGTGTAAAGTTGCTGGGCCTTCATTAGTCTGTAGAGGAGGCTCACACTGCTGCGCCCCTTCACTTGTGGAGGTCTGATTTTTAAATACAGCATAGCACTAAAATAGCATTTCACATAGGATCAACAAACATTAGCAGACCCAGATTGTGTGTGTATTTGTCAGTCTTAAAAAGGTCACACGTATTCCTCTGACTTACCCATGACAGGTGTAAGTGAGAATAGTGCTCACTGTGACACTCACCTGTCAAACTGTAGCTCTGTCAGTGTTGCGTTGTCTTTGGCCGTCTCCAGCCATCTTTGCTTTTTTGTGATTCTATTTCTGTTCCTGGTTGTCAAGAGATACTTTCAGATTTCACCTCATCCTATCATCTACAGATTTTCTGTATCAGTCCTCTTTAAAATTTCCTTGTATCACACACTTGTTTTGACCCATTCATCTTTTCATCTCGGCATCGTTCTCCTCATCTTTATCCCTGTTTCTTTATGGATAGATATCGAATGCTTTCATCCTATGAGATGAAAGCAGGCAATACCAAGTTACGTGGTGTGTATCTGATTAGACTCCCGCTGTGTTTAGTGGTGTTTGTGTGGTTTGCTATCTCAGGTAATCCACCATCAACAGTGTCCCTATATAACCTTGATATCTCTCCAGTCAGAAAATAAAATGAAATAAAAAGATGTTACATTTTAGCACCAACAGTTAAAAGGGTGAAGACCAAGATAAAATGTACCTGCTTCTATCAGAGATAAAAGAAGAGCTGACAAGCACAGAGCACTTGCTGACTGTGAGCAAGTTACTTTACTCTGAGGTGACTTTGAAAAGTGTTTCAACTGTGGCTGGTTGTCAGCCCCCCTCGTATGAAGGAGGAGTGAGCCTCAGCAAAACCCTGACATCATATTAGTCTACCAGCGGTGAGTGTCATTAAAAAGCTTTTAATGAGCAGTCTATAGACAGTCTACAAGTTCAGAGGAATAGCCAACAGAAAGCAGTAATAATGTGAGGAGTAAATGCAGTTTAAACGTTTGAAAAGCTAACGCAAAAAGATAAAAGAAGAACAATGAAAGAAATTAACTGGAGTCACTGACTGGACCCATCAGACAAAAGAAGGAACGAGAGAAGAAGAGTATGTGTATTTGGATGAGAGGCTATATAGTGAACATGAGCTGCAAAGCAATAATATATAATAGAATGATCACGTATTTGATCATTCTGTTGTAAGGAATGACCTTCACCATTGTTCTTGTCATTCTCTAGCTTATTATTATTATTAATCTCATTTTTTGCAGAAGCAAAGTAGGATCATAGATCCGTTTGTATTGGGCTGTTAAAACATCGTAGCTAAAACAAAATATATATATACCTCATATTTATGTAGTAAACAAGGATGTTTAAAAACAGAAAAACAATTTTTTAAAAATTCATATCAGTTTTATACACTCTTCAATCTGTCAGTCATCACCTGGACAGTTTCCATCACCTGAGGGGGTTCCTTCAAGGCTGAGCATCTCTTGTCTCCTTCCCTTTCACTCTACAGTCTGCAACCATTTCTGTTGGTGAGTGTAGAGGTCAAGCTAACTGATGCAGCACTCCATCATTGCTGCTTCCTTTTTAACAGTCCTTACAGAGCCTGAAGATGTGGCCTGGCTCACTGAATAAATGATGGTCCCACTAAGATCAAACCAGGTGGACTATGTGTCACTGCAGGATCTTTTGGTTGCCACTAAAGTGTCGCCTTAAATCTGACCGTTACTAGCAAAGCCCCCACACAATAACAGCTCCTTCTAAATGATTCATGGTGGGAATGTCACAGGCAGAAACCAGCTCTTCTTTTTCTCAGTGTCTGGTAAAGACACAGCAACTGATGAGGCGAGGTGCGCACCACTTGATCTCCGGGAAGCATCTCTGTGACATCCACACATAACAGTATTTTGCTGTTTTTAAGACTGCACTTCAAAAAGCCTTAAGAGGGCTTTTGCTCTTATCTTAGCAGTAGCTTGGATCAGCACACCTGACAGCTTTGCTTCCTTCAGTGTTTTTTCTACACTGTGTGTCCAGACTTTTCTCTGGTGCTTTTATGCTGAGCAAACAGCAAAGTCAGAAATGGTAGGTGACTAATTTATCTGACAATTTTAACTTTAACGAATTTCACACAATAGAAACAAATTCCGGATTATAGATGAAATGTGTACTTCCAAAGAAAGGCAGTATGCAAACACAAAAAGCTAGAAAATATTTTATAATTATGTTTTTTTTAATAGTTGAGTTTAAGCAGCTTAACACAAATTGAAATTCGTGACTGAAAACAGAGCCACAAAGTAAATGAAGACAAAGTACTGAAATTACACTTTACATCAATTTTGAAAAGAATTTGCACGACTGTTTTAGGATTCACTAAACAAACATACCTTCACTGTTCCTTTATATTTTCATTAGGTTTTAGCTTGGAGGATTTTAATGACATCATCGATGATTTT